GATGGGGCTCCTGCAGGGTGTGGGGTTTGGGGTTTCCCCCCATAACTACCCCCACCCCAACCAGGGCCCTGGCCTTTAGTTCCTGCCCCTGGGTTGCCCTGGTCTGCCCTCCCAGCCCCAGCCTGTAACTGGACGCCCTCGTCACTCGGCACCTTCCCAGGTGAGCTGGGCTCTGCTTACTGAACCCAACACCAGCTAGGGGAGCCAGGATGAAGGAGGGAACTGAGGGGGTGGGAGTCCACGGAGTGGAAGGTGGGCTGACTCTCAGTCTCCTCCCCACAGGGCTTATCAAGCATCCGGCTCACTGCCCTATTCAGGGTCTCCTTCCAAGCCCATCCTCTTCCACCTCGGCCCCTCCCAGCCATTTACGTCTCAGCAGGTGGTGCTCTTGGAATCAGAAAGAAATGGAGTCTTGCATGTGGGGTTTCTGGGACAAAGCTAGAGGCCAGGAAGCACCGCCTACTTCCTCCTTGTTGCAAAGGCCCTGAACTCCAGGGTGTGGCTGTCCCAGCTTTGCCATTCACAGCCCTGTGACCTTGAGCTGCCCACCTGCTGTGAACCTCCTCTAAACTAGGCCTAAAGATTCCCCTCCTGCAGTCGTCACAGACATTCAGTCGAGGTGGACAGAGACCAGAAGAGGGGCCGCCATGACTCAGGGTCATCCACCAGGGCTAGGGTTCTGGATTGTGGCGGGAAGGAGAGGGGACCATCTTCATTCTCCCCTTCCCCAGAGGCTAGGCACAGCCCGGGTCTTCCAGGAGGGAAGACTGGGCTCTGCTAATCAATTCTCTTTGTTATTCCCTGGTCACTCTAGAGGTTGGGGGGCAGGGGAAAGAGAGAAGAGGGGGGTTGCAGGGTGGCCTCTTCAGGTAAGTGTAATAAAGGCCAGTGGGAACTAACCAGGAAGGTTTACCACATGCCTGTCCTGCCTCAGCTCTTTACCTGTCCACGGCTGATGAAATTTGGGCTCGGGGGCAGCACATCCAAGCTTACACAGCACGTGGTGGAACCGTACCTGGCTTCAGAGCCCTTTGCTGACCTTGCAAATATCCCAGGACCCTGGGGTTTGGGTTCCAGATCCAGCTCACCGTGTGGCCTTGGCCAAGATGCCTAACCTTACAAGAGATAAGTTTTCTTTCCCCATGCGCTGGTGATGTCCCACTCTCCTCTCAGGGTTATTGTGAAAAACAAGGGGCTAATGAACTCAAACTATGAGACACCCAACAGATACCTGGTACAAACTTCTCAACAAAGAAGCTTCCCTGTGTCTACCGGCTGCCCAGCTCCTGAGGTAACCCCCACCCCCATCCAGGCTGAGACTGGAAGACACAGGACCTGCCGGGTCTCTGGGAAGGCACTGAACGACCGCTTGGCGCCACCTAGTGGTCCATTGTGTGTGGTGCTTGGGGAGCCGGAAGCCTGCTTGGGGATGGAGGGGTCTTGAGCACCACCATAGGCTTTGGAGGGGTGGGCAAACTCTGCCCAGACCTCAAAAGGGAGGAGGTTATGCCAAGCTAGGACTTCCCTTGTGGCTCAGACTGCAAAGAATCTTCCAGTAATGTAAGAGACCCAGGTTTCTTGGGTCGTGAAGATTCCCTGGAGAAGGGAATGGCTACCCATTCTTAAACCTGGAGATTTCCATGAATAAAGGAGCCTGGCGGTCTACAGTCAATGGGGTCGTAAAAAGTCGGACATGATGAGCGACTAACATTTTATTCCTAGCTAAGCCCTCCCTTGGTCTCCCAGCTAGGGGTAGGGTGAAGGTGGGCAGTCCTGCCATCTCATGAACAACAAGGGGAGGGCACAGGATTCCAGTTCCAGCTCTGCTGCTGCCTAGCTCCCTGGGCCTCAGCTACATTCTCTGCAAAATGGGAGTGAAAATCCCCACCTCTCAGGGAATGGCACTGTCCCTGAATTCTTTAAATATCAAACATTTTATGAAGTGTCTCCTTTCCAAAGTCATTGTGCGGAGCGCTTTGGCACATGAAGATGTCTAAGCCTAGTTTCTTGCTACCAAGAGACCCACCTTATTCCCAGGGGAAATCGACATGTAAATTACTCATCACCTGCAGCAGCAGACCTCAGATGACACTGAGGGAGCATTGAGGCAGGGGAGATACATGGGGGCCGGCAGGAAGTGGGAGGCATAGGAACCACCCCCTGCCGAGGTGGGCTCTCATCCCATGCCGAGCCCCCTCAAGGTTAGGCCTGCTTCCCCCAACTCCCAGCTTCTCTTGCTGGACCACTGAGCTCCATCTTTCACACCTCTGTGCTTTGATCCTACACAGTTCTCCTTTCCTAAATGCCTTTCTCCAACTTGTCCACCTGACAACTCCTCTCCAGCCTTCCTTTTGGGATGGAGTGGGGAGTGGGAAATACTCATGACCAGGCAAGTAGGGAGGACATGGAGGTCAAGGTGCTGTTTTGGTGTCTTCCCACTGTCCCCTGCTCCCCAACAAGCAGTGACACAGACACTCATCATCAGGGCAAGCAGGCTCAGGTGGGTGTCAGGCCTTTCTGATCCCCTAACTGCAGGCTTTCTGAATCCTTTCAGTCCCATATTTACTCCACTGCCTGCTCCATTTCAGGGGTTGGGTGGGCCCTGGGCCTGCAAGAGTCAGGAGATTCAATCATATTCTGAGGAACTTTCTGGTGCAGGAGACAGACCCACAGCAAAGAACAGCACAATGCATGTTCTCAGAGACCCGAAGTGACCATTCTGCCTAGAAAGGGGCAGGGCTATATCCTGGGAAACAGAGGGGGTGAAGTCTGAGGCAAGTCATGAAAGGTTAATCTGGGTATTTCAGATTTGCTAGAAACATGTAGTCAAGTCAGGGAGGTGTGAGGTGGGAAGGCATCTATATCAGAGGCCCTTTCTTTGACCATCCTAAAAGTGAGCGCTCCCCAACCGGTAGGTTCTATTATTTGATTATTTGCCACTTCTCGCAGTGTGAGGTTATTTGCCTGCTTGTTTGTAATCAGTCTCTCGCCTGTAACTGTATGCATCCCAAGGCAGGGCCATGTCACTCTGGCGTACTGTGGGGTCTCCAATGTCTAGCCAGCACCTGAATAAATATTTGTGGAATGAATGAATGAATAAACGAACACCCAAGATGGGTGGGAAGTCTCCTTTATCCCAGTGACAGGATATTACCAAGATTTTCTTCCTAATGTCTGTCCTTATCCCTCTACCCCTGCTCCCAAATTCTGAGTGGGGTCACCAGACTTCTCTGTCTCCAATCTGGAAGCTATCTGAGGGCACACCGTTTCCTGGCTTTTGCATCCTGTGTCCACTTCTTTGAGGGGATTATGTTAGGGGTAAGGCGCATCAAGGGGCTTCCCTGGTGGGTCAGTCAGTAAAGAAACCACCTGCAATGCAGGAGACCTGGGTTTGATCCTTGGGTTGGAAAGATGCCCTGGAGAAGGGAATGGCAACCCACTCAAGTATTCTTGCCTGGAGAATTCCATGGACAGAGGGGCCTGGCAGGCTACAGTCCATGGGTTGCAGAGTTGGACATGACTGAGCAACTAACACTTTTACTTTTTTTTTTTTCCACAAGGAGTCAGAGAAGAAGGTCTCCAAGACTGGACAGGGGTGGGTGATCAGTGTCCCCTGGGAGCACCACAGGGAGCTGCAGGGTTCCAGAGGGCATGGTATGAGGCCCCAAGAGAGGTTATGACTCTGGAAAAGCTTTCCCTCACCCAGCCCCTGGGCCTGGGCAGAGTTATGGCCTGTGGATGCTGGTAACTGTGGGTGTCAGCAGCTACCATGACACCCTGAAGGTTACAGGCCTGCTCCTAGAAGGCCCACTCCCTGCCTGTACGACCTTCAGGGTGGGGAGCCCCCAATCCTACTGAGCTAGGGTTTCCATACACTCCCAGGGGTACAGGTTCGGAGTTAGATTAAATGAGGGGAATTTCCTGTGGTCTAGTGGCTAAGACTCTGCACTCCCAGTGTGGGGGACCTGGGTTCAATCCCCGGTCAGGGAACTAGATCCCATATGCTACAACTAAGAGTTACCACAACTAAGACCTGCATAGCCAAATAAATAAATAAAATTTTTTTTTAAAGTTAGATTAAATGAGATGCCAAGAAAATAAAGAACTGGGAGGTTCCTTGCATACCTCCCTCACGAGGCCGTCTACTCTCATGATCTGGCCTGAGAGACAGGGGTGTCTGGAGATCCCCCTTCTAGGGAATCAGTTTGCCCTCCTCCAGGGGCTTCCAGGGGAGCATCTTCACCATGAGAGAGGATTGCTAAGGACAGGACTTTCTGGTGTTCAGGCGGTCTTGTGAGGAAGACATCTTTATGCAGGGTGAGTTCACTGGAGGCTAGGAAAAGCTGAAATCAGTCCCTGGTGAAGGAAAAGGGATTGGGGGTGGTGGGGGTGCCTCAGCAGTGTGAGTTGAGGGTGGGGTCAGAGAGGAGAGTCCCAGGAGAGGGTACAAAAGAAATAACTATATCTCTAAGACATCTTCAATAGCCTGACTCTGGAGGATGATGGGAAATTCATCTCTGGGCAGAAGCCCTGGTCCTTCTTGCACCTTGAGAGCATATTCAGCTTCTTGCCAATGGCTGCAGGCCCTGCATGGGAGACCAAGCTCAACCAGCAACATGCCCACCTGCTGTGTAATGGTGATTCCCCTTGTCATTTCACTGTGAGTCAACAACTCAGCTACCTCAGTTTTGCGAAGTAACAAGTGATACTAACAAAACCTCCCATAAGGGTGCTGTCAGCTCAGCCATCAGGACATAATAGACACCTCTGCATAAACAGGCAGGGCAGGGGTAAGCCTCCCTGGAAAGGGTTAGCCAGTGTCTCAGGCAGGGGTTCTTTATGTATTTATTTTTTTTCTACACTAGTAGGCATGCAGGATCCTAGTTTCCCGGTCAGGAATCAAATCTACACCCCCTGCAGTGGAAGCACAGTCTTAACACTGGACCACCAGGGAATTCACTAGGGGTTCTCAAAGGGAACAGAAGACTCAACAAACAGCCTTCACACAGTTTACCAGTTTATTTGTCCTAAATAAATAAAGTCGGAGAATATCCATACTCCCACGATGTCTTTCCCAAAAGAGCAGCTTAAGATATAGATGCATATTTTTGCAGCGCGTGTTCTCAAGTTAGGCTCAGGAGAGTGTTTGTTCTGGCTTGTGCAGGACTGGATCTGGCTATGAAGACTCTCCCCAGGTTCCCTTCTCTGCTTCGGACCTGAGTCCCCTGCTAGGACCCCTACGTCCTGTTCCTCCTCTTGGAGCACCTGCCGCCTCTCCTCTCTGTAGCTCACAGGGAGCAGCGCCCACAGCTGTGTGGCCCTGTGGCTAGCTGCTGGCAGAGAGCTCTGTCCTGTATCACCTGCTACCACTGCAGGCCCCTTGCCAACTCCTCACCCTGGAAGTGGCTCACCCAGGGCAAAGGGAAAAACTGAGGCACAGCTGGCAAATGGATGGAAAGCTGGCCGGAGACTGAGAGCCCCCGACAAAGGAGGAAAGGGACACTAACCACCCTCCCCCTGGGATCCCTAGGGAGCAAGAGGAGGGGGAGACCACCCTTTTCTTCTCTTCGCAGATCACAGGTTCGGGTCCACGTTCTCCTGGTCTGAGGTTTCCTCCTCATCATCTGCGGACTCCTATATCAGAGCCAGAGTAACCCACTCATGGGCTTGTACCATTTCCCCTAGAGTCACAGCTGGAGGGCCAGCATCTCCTTCCTCCTGCTCTCGCCTCCAATGGAGCCAGAGGAGGCTCTGCCAGCCCCACCCCAGCGTTCTCTGGCCTTCCCTTCCTCCTAGCTCCCAGGCTACCCACGGCCACATTCCGCCCACCATTGGGTGACTCCCTCTTACCAGGCTGAGGGCCCCATTCCGCCGCAGGGTAGCATAGAAGCTCAGCACGCGGGGGTCACAGCGAACCACCATGGGGTCAAAGTCCAACACGCGGAGGCCCTGCAGGCTGCGGGCCCGGGAAAGGGCCACGTAGGCCTGGCCGCTGGCAAACACACGGCCCAGAGACATCTCCACACAATCCAGGGACATGCCCTGGGGAGGGAGACACAGAGCTGGAGCCACCTCAGCCTGTATTTCCCTTGTGCCCAAGAAGCTGACTCTACTTCCACCAGCCCAGCTATGGCCCCTGATCTCCTTGCCCTGTTCATAAAGTCTGAGCCAGAGAGACAGGATGATGGGTGTCTGAGTAAGGGGGTGTCCAGGAAATATGGATCCAAGGTAAGAGCAGAGGGATAAGGGTGAAAGGTAAGAGCTGAGGTCTGGGTCAGACAGGCATGGAAATGAGTCTTGCTCTGCCTGGCACTACATGTATGACCTTGGATGAGTTACTTAATTTCTCTGACTTTGGTTTCCTCTTCTGTAAAACAGAAGTGATTATTATAACTATACCTCACAGAGTGGTCAAAACACATTAAAATTAACATATCCAATAGTGGCTCAGAAAATGGCAGGAGAGAAAAGAAGGGAAATATATGTGTCTGGGAAAGAGACGAGGCAGGATGGGAAATATACTAAAGAAAGGTTTATTCTACAGCTGGTCTGGAACTTTTCATCACTCCCAAGGCTTTTAAGACCCCTACCCTTCAACGTGCCAGGCCTATCCTGCCCCCTCCACCGTGCCCTGCTGCCAACCCCTGCACTCACCTGGCTCTTGTGAATGGAAATGGCCCAGGCCAGCTGCAGGGGTAGCTGCTGCCGGCTGAGGAGATGGCCCCCTGTGGTCTGCACCGTCCAGCGGTCAGCACGGATGACCTCGGTGACTCCACACAGGAACCGGACCTGGGGCAGCCCTGCGGGAGGTGTGGTGAAGGCTCACCTTTCATTCCCACATCAGGACTCCAAGGTGAGGCCTGTCCTCACCTTCCCACACTAGCCTTTTCCTCCATATGCTACCCCTAGGGCCCTGCTGCGAATCCAAGCAGTAGGACTGCTTCCCCACCACTTACCTCTCCCCTCGGCCTCGAACCCAACTACCACCCCTCGGGCACCATTCACCAGGCCCCGAGACACTGCCAAGTTCTTCACCAGCATCACCTGCGAGGGAAGGAAAACTGGAAGCATAGAGAGCCGTGCATCCCTACGCCTGGTCTCAGCTCCAGGCGTTGCTGCGGCGGTTCTCTGAGGCTGGGGGCTGTCACAGAGGGGCACTGAGTCGAGGGATCCCTGGAACAAGCTGCTTTATTTCCCTAGGTTTCCCCTTGTGTCAAAGGAGAATGACGTTTGCTCAGTTTGCCTTAGAAGGAGGGGATAAGGAATAATAAGGTGACAGGGCTTTGACAAATGACCATGTCATATGAACCTCAGTCTTGAGTGATTGCCTTCTTCCAACCACTGTGTCTGCAGTTCCCCATGAGGGCCCTTTGAAACCTAAGGAAAGGCCCCCATTTGGCTACCCTCACTTTTCATGGAAGGAAGGAGAAACACAATACAAGGTGCACTACAGAAGACAATTGTGTGTGGTAGTTATTTTACTCTGAATTTATTTATTAATATTTTTGGCTGCGCTGGGTCTTTGTTGCAGTGCATGGTGTGGAGCATGAGCTCTAGAGCAGGTGGGCTCAGTAGTTGTGGCTGTGTGCTCTCTAGTTGGAGTGCTCAGGCTTAGTTGCCCCATTGCATGTGTAATCTTAGTTTCCCGACCAGAGATTGAACCCTCATCCCCTGCATTGAAAGGCAAATTCTTAACTATTGGACCACCGAGGAAGTCCCCTCCTCTGAATTTAGAGATGAGGAAACCCAGCTTCAGCAAAGGAGAGTGATCTGTCTAAAGCAACACTGCTTGGAGCTCCAAGTGGAAGAAGAGGAGAGCAGTGGACAATAGAAGACAGAAAGGTGGGAATGAGTTTGTTGTGGTCACAGGTGGGTCCTCTGGCCATGCAGCAGCCTGTACAGAAGGGCAGTGATCCGGGAGGCCCAGCTCTCAGGGTCTACGTCCCGCTTCCCACTCACCTGGGCCCCCAGCTTTAGCTGAAGGAGCTGGCTAACAGGACACTGAGCATCCAGGGTCCGGGCTTGCTCAGGGTCACTGTCCATGGCCTCAAAGCTGTGTACTTCACCTGGGGAGAGTCGGGCAGACAGACTACCAGTCACTCACTTGTGACTCAATTTCCAAAAAACCACATATTAGCCCAGGGCATGGGGGAGGCAGTGAGGACAGCTCAGGCCTAGCTGGGGCTCTGAAATCAGAGGCCTGTTCAAGTCTCATTTTTAGTGTTTACTGGCTGAGTGACTTTGACCCAGAAAAGGTCACATCTCTCAAAGGCACAATTACATTTGCAGATGTAGGGGACTTTATGGCTGTAAGGCTAGGGACCAAGATATTCAAATGACACCAGGAGTCCAGGCTGCCTGGAGTAGGGGGTAGGGGGGAGATGTCTGCCTGATGGCCTTTTCTAGCTGGTCTGGCCTAGTTCCAGCTCCCTGCTCACCTGGCAGTTCCTGCAGCTGCCTCTCATTGGTAAGGGCCACATCATCCTGGTGGGTGCAGAGCCTTGTGGCCACAATCCCATCTCGCCCCACCTTGTGGGCAGCTGTGGCCCGGAGCTGGCGGGTGACTTCATCTGAGCACCTGTGGACGCCGGGTTATCAGAGCAGAGCCGAGCTGAACACCAGGGAAAGTGGGGCACATGGCCTACATGTGGCCCACGTGTCAGGCCATGGACCAGGCCTGCGGCCTGGATGTGGTACCAGAGCAAGATTTGCTGGTTCACAGGCTGGCAAACTTGTTTCTTCCTCACTTGGACCCCAGACATGGAGTAATGGTGCATGACTGTGATCAGGGGTGGGCACCCTACCCTGTGTCTGTCCTCAGATTGGAGCTAGCTGCCCTCCTGAGGAAGTTGGATCTGATGAGTGAGCATGGGCCAGAGATTTAGAGATGCAGATGAGGCTCTGAGGTTGAGGCTGATACCCTATAATACTGGCACCCTATCATCAGATCACCCTCCAGGCTACAATTTTCTAGTCTTTTGCCTGCTGCCTTACAGGAAAAAAAAAAAAAAAGAAATCTAGCCTGTGTTTCTATTTTCCCCATTTCAAGTCTTCCTCCTGGGGAAGACTGGGTGCTGCAGCAACTCAAGTGGGAGGACGGGGCAAAAGTTGGGACCATCTCTGACTGCTCTGCCATTCAGGCTTCCTCCTGTCCCCTACACCGCTGGTGTGTGCTGCGCACTTCCTACCCGCCTCCTGGAAAGCCCCTCCCCACCACCACCACCCCTCCCCAGTTTGACTTGGGTCTCAAGGCCCAGCTCTGGCTCATTTCTTCTGCCCTCTTGGCCTCCCTTTCACTCCCGTGTTAGAGCAGCTGTAGCATCTCAACCTTTTGTCTTTGCTGGGGTGGGATCACGTCTGCAACCTCTCCTTCCACACCAGCTGACCCCACGGACTCTAAGAGTAGAAGGAACTTGGGTTTCGGCGTCAGATCCGAGTGCAAATTCCAGCTCGGCCACTTATTAGCCATGACTCTGGGCAAGTCACTTCACCTCTTTGAACCCTAGTTTCTGCATCTATAAAATGGGAGTGTCTCTATCTGCCCATAATTCCCTGAAATGTACTCTGTGCCAGGCCCTGTGCTGGCTGATGCTCACAGAGTGACCGTCTCGTATGGGGTCATGAAGCACTTCTCCCCCTTCTCTGGGTTCTTGTGCTCCTCTCTGATCCATGCTTGGATCCTCATCCAGTGGCCCCTTCTCTCTTCACCAGGCCCCACCTGCCCAGCCGCACAGCTTGCAGCAGAGAGATGAAGGTCTTGTCCGTTTGCCTCCACACCTCAGTCAGTTCCAGGGTCACTGGGACACACCTCCTCCAGCTCTTGGCCTGGTGGGGGTAAGGTGGGGGAGTGAGGGAGCAGAGCAGACCCCCATGGGGGTTAGGGCTGGAGGGCAAGCAGTACCTGGAAGCAGAACTGCGGGAGCTGGGATCCCTTGGTTACAGGTGGCAGCTGCAGGAAGTCCCCACAGATGATAAGCTGGATCCCTCCGAATGGCTTATTCTGCTGCCGGACAGCTCTGCAGAGGAGCGCGGGGTGCTCTAGGGTCTGGGGTGGTTGGGTTCCATCCGGAAGACCACCAGAACCCAATCCTCACTGCACATACTGACCTGGCCACGGCCTCCAGCTTGTCAAACAGGTCTGCTTCCACCATGGAGATCTCATCAATGACTAGCCGCTGGCAGTTCAGCCAACCCTGCCGCACACCAGGCCGCTGGGCCAGGGCCACACACTGGGCCAGGGGAGCCTGGCCCGAGCCAATGCCTGTGAGGGACACTATTCAGACTGGGCTGAGATCCCAGCACTGTCTCAACCCACCAGCCTGGCTTGCTCCCAGTTTAAGCCCCAGGAGCTCTCATTTACCTGCAAAGGCATGGAGGGTAGTACCCCCGATGTGGCAGGCTGCCACCCCAGTGCTGGCAGTGGCCACAGTGCCTGTGGGAGGCAGTGAGCCCAGGATACGCTTCAGCAGATAAGACTTCCCCGTCCCTGGGCAGAGGGCAAAGTCAGGGCCGCTTCTCCTCCATCCCAGCGCACCCCTATTCTCCCCACACCCACTCTGCCCCACCACTACCTGCACTCCCAGTGAAGAAAATGCTCTGGCCTTTCAGGACAGCCCTCAGGACAGCAGCCTGTTCCTTGGAAAGCTCTGGTTTGGTGGGGGGCAATCTCAGCCTCTTCACAGGCAGGGGCCACCTTGGGACTTCCTGGGGTAGGGGAGGGCTGTTTTAGGACCTCCCCACATCTCCTCGGCATCACCCCCTCCCTTCTCGGTCTGGTAGCCCTTTGTGTCTCTGCTGGCTTCTCTCTTTGGAGCCCTTGGGCAGCCTTGGCTCACCTGGAGATCTTGCCAGTAACCACAGGGTTCCAGGTCTCTCCCTGAGGAAGGGATCAAAGCTGGATCTCCACTGACTCTGGGTTCACCCCTAACATCCCCTGTCTGCAGGTCTAGATTCTCCTCAGTGTCCTCTCCTGGGTTTCCTAACTCTCCTGGTCCCCTCACCCATCCTTCCTTCTCACAACTCTTCCTGTCACAATCTGTCTCTCTGACCTAAAATCTCCCCAGCTAAACCCTGCTTAGCCGGGGCCCCTTTCCCCCCATTTCCATCTCCTCTCCAGATTAGTCTCAAACCGCTGTGGTTTGTGATCCTTCACTTCCAGTTTGTGAACACTGTCACATCCACCAGACTTAGTCCCCCAACACCTCTCCCCCATCTGATTGGACCTGTGGGCTGCCCCTAACACAGCTGATCACTGTATTCTCTCCAAAACCTCCTCTCCTCCTCCAGGAGGACTTCATTCCTACTTTCTTCTGAAGCACCTTCTCTGCTTTCTCTTTTAACGTGACCTAAGCCCATTTTCCTATTCTCATTGCTCAGTCTCAAGGATTGCACAATGAGAAACGCACGCACAATTCCCATATCTTCGTTAGTCTCAGAAGCCTGATGAACATCTCCTCTGAAGTAATCAGCAGCCATCTCAAATACCACCACCATCTTCCCCCTAAACTTGGGCTTCCTCGGTCTCTTCCATCTCCCACTCCCCAAGGCGACCCCCGTTTTCCTGTCCTCACTGTGCTGGGCTTGGCTCCCGCCCGAGGTTCCGTGGGCCGCTTCACCGGCGTGGTATCTGTGACCCGGGTGGCTGCCACGCGCCGCAACTCCTCGGGCTGCACGGGGCTGATGCCGACGAAGTCGCGGGGCCGCGGGCCAAGCAGCTGTGTGCGGGCGGAGGCCGGCCCGGGACCCGGGGCCGCCGCCAGCTTGAGGCGCAGCGTACTCAGGAAGCGGCGCAGGCGGTCTGGGGGGCAATCCGAGAGCAGCAGCTGGACCGCGCTGGCCCGGAGAGTGCTGTCAGCGGGGAACCGCAGAGTGCTGCGCCCGGCTGCAGCGAAGCGGGTGAAGAGGCGCGCGGCGCGCACGGGGAAGCAGCGCAGCTGCCCAGCGGGCCCAGGCGCCTGCAGCCTCAGCATCAACTCGCGGCGCTCGTTACGACCCAGTCTCAGCTCCGCGGTGCGTAGGGACTGGCGCCTTCGCGCCTGCCCACCGGGGCTCAGCTCCTCCAGAGTCACACGGCACCGCAGTTCTCCATCCTCGCATTCTGCGGCCGCTGCCTGGGTGCCCGAAAGCATCGCCGCCGCCTCTGCAGGTCTGCAAAAAGACCGGAGCACAGGCGTCACTGGGACTCAGGGGACATCATAGGTGGTACAGGAGTCTGGACAGGGAGCCCAGTCAAAGCTACAAAGGGTCCCAGGGCTGTCACTGGTAACATAAAGAGATCATGGAGACTGTAAAAGCACCCTGGGGCAAACCGGAAATTCTCCTAGACATTTTTCTCCCACACAATAATTTCCAGAGCTGCGGATGGGCAACGTCAAGCGCACCCAGGATTGGGAATCTCTGCTGTCCGACAAGAGCCACAGAAGGGAGCCCCTGAACAGAAAAGAAGCTTGCGTCTAAAAGACCCAGGGGGGCACGGGAATCTTGAGTCCTCTCCGCAAGGAAGCAGGAGACTCACTTGTGGAGGTAAGTAGGATGGACATGTTATCAGCGCCTTCCCTCTCCCAGCTACTTTCGCTGGTTTATATGTAGTCAAGCTAGTGTCACTATTTCCCATGTACAGAAGTGGAAAACAGGCTGAAAGAGACCACAACGGCTGGTGGGAGTCAGAGATCGTGTATTCGGAAGCTCTCGTGCTTCCCATCTCTAAGGTGGGGTAGAAGTAGAAAATATTTGGCTACGGAAATAGCGGAGGGACCCTGGCTTCCGGGAACCAGTCCACGCGCCGTCTGATTCATTCGTATGCACCCTCCCGGCAGGGACCCCTAGAAGAAGAACGTTCTGACTCCCAGGTCTGGGATCAGGTGGACACTCACTTGTGCCAGCACTCGGACGAACCAGTTGAGAAATGTCGGACTTCAGGCAAAAGAAGCACACTGGAAACTTTCAAATTTTGGGAGTAGAGAATTATCCTATCACCTGCAGGAGCTTTAAATTTTCTAGCCAATCAGAGAAAGCGGGCGTGACAAGGGGCGTGTCTTTCTGTGTTTCAACCCTCAGAGCTTGGGCTGTACCAATAGCACGCCAGAGGAAGGAGGCTGATTGTGGTGGCGGAGCATACCAAGCCGCGCAGACGAGTGGATGTGGGGGGGAGGGGACGGAGACTGCAGCTGGGCCGCGCGTGGATTAGTGTCACCAATCGCGTCTCTGAAGATTTATATTCAAGACCTTGCCTCCAACGAAGACTCCCTCCTCTCTAGCCCTCACACAGCGGCTGAACTTGGCTTTGGGGAAGAGCTGCCTCTGAACCCTCCCATCTCTGTTTACACTCACGGGACCTTTGCCCATTTCTGGGCAGACCGCCCCGCTCCAGCCCTCGCCCCCTGACCGAGACCTGCTGCTCCCGCTGCCCCCACCCCCAGCTCCTTCCACGCTTATCGGTCTTTTTGTCATTTTACTCATGTCTTTCCCATCCGTCTGAGACACATCAGTGAAGAACTGAGACCTGTGACCAAGTGCTCAGAGAGTAGAAGGGAAGTGAGCGAGCCTCTGTCTTCAGGGAATGCGTATCCCTCTCATTGTACTGAATGCATAGGAAATTTGTTTTTCATTTTCTTTTCCCTCATTAAATCTTGGAATGACAGAGCTAGAAGGCATCTTACAGGTGAGTCAGCTCGCTCATTTATTGAATTGCCCACATTTTTCAAATGAGGAAACCAAGGCTCCAAGAAGTTTTACCAGATGTCGCATAGCTTATAGATAGCAAAACAAAGCCTGGAAGCCAAATCTAAGCCTGTTAGTTTATCTACTACACCACGTTGCTCCCAGAGAGAGAAAGACAAAGAGAGAGAGAGACAAAGAGACAGAGGCTGGTCTAACCTGGTGAAGGGAGTCCAGACATGGACTGGAATCTCAGCTCCTGAAAGGCACTGTGTTACACCAGACCTGCAGGTTTGATGTTACTCTAAGCAAGTTTCCTTAATGTCTCAAGCCTTTGTTTCCTTATATTTAAAAATGAAGGAAGATGAAAATGTGATGATTGCATAACTATGACTATACTAAAGACCATCTAATTATTTGCTTTAAATTGTATGGTATGTGAATTGTATCTCAATAAAACTGTTAGAAAAAATAAAATGAAAAATATTTTTCCTCTTAAATGTTGTTTTGACATATGACTGCTAGTGGCACAGAATACATTTTAATATCACTGTTGTAAGCAGAATAATGATACCCCCCCAAATATGTCTACATCCTAATCCGCAGATTCCTTTTGTATGTTACTTTACATAGCAAAAGGGACTTTGCAGATGTGATAAATTAAGGATCTCGACATGGGGAGACTACCCTGGGTTGTCTGGGTAGGCTCAATTAGGATTCTTATAAGGGAGGCTAGAGAATCAGATGGAGAAGGAAATGGTACCCCACTCCAGTATTCTTGCCTGGAAAATCCCATGGACGGAGGAGCCTGGTAGGCTGCAGTTCATGGGGTTGCTAAGAGTCGGACACGGCTGAAGTGACTTAGCAGCAGCAGCAGAGAGTCAGAGGAGATATGATGGATAAGTGGACATGTATGTGTTTGTGAAAGATAGAAAGGCTAATTTGAAGATGTTACTGCTAGCCTAGAAAATGGAAGGAAGGGCCATGAACCAAGCTGTACAGGATACAGGTTTCTTGAAGCTGGAAAAGGCTAGAGGAAGTGGGTTCCCCTCTAGATTTGCCAGAAGGAACACAGCTCTTGATTTTAGTCCAATGAGACACATTTTAGGCCTCCAGAACTGCAAGATAATAAGTTTGTCTTGTTTTAAGCCACCAAATTTGTGGTAATTTGTTACAGTAACTATAACAATAAGAAACAAATACAATCATGAGCTAGGAAATGAAAGCTGGGATTATGAAAGTATGTCTGTGTCTATTTCCAAAGCCTATGTTCTCTCTTCCCACTACCCTGTGCTCAAGAGTAGCCCCAGCACACTCACACAGCCTGCTCCCTTCTCCCTTCTCTTGTGTAGTACCCCAGACTGGTTCTAGAGAAAGCGTGGAGACTTCCATATGAATTTTCCCCCAGTATTTTTTTCTTTTGGACTCACCATGCAGCTTGTGGGATTTTAGTTCACCCAGGGATCTAAACCAGTCCCTTGCAGTGAAAGCCCCAAGTTATAACCACTGGACTGCAGGGGAATTCCCTCAATTATTTTTTTAATTGTAAAATATATGTAACATAAAATTCACCATACTGTTTTTCAGTATACAATTCATTACCATTAACTGCATTCAAATACTGTATAACCATCAACACTATTTCCAGAAAAGTTTCATTATTCTGAAACAGAAACTTTGTATCCATAGACCAGACATCCTGGAATGTGAAGTTAAGTGGGCCTTAGGAAGCATCACTAGGAACAAAGCTAGTGGAGGTGATGGAATTCTAGTTGGGCTATTTCAAATCCTGAAAGATGATGCTGTCAAAGTGCTGCACTCTATGCCAGCAAATTTGGAAGACTCAGCAGTGGCCACAGGACTGGAAAAGGTCAGTTTTCATTCCAATCCCAAAGAAAGGCAATGCCAAAGAATGCTCAAACTACCACACAATTGCACTCATCTCACACGCTAGCAAAGTAATGCTCAAAATTCTCCAAGCCAGGCTTCA